GCAATTTGTAATTATAATGAAACAGTTTATCCATTAAAATTTAAGATTATTATTACCAATTACCACCAATGAATACATTTTCGTGGAATTTTTGTGAAAATTTGGTAGTGTCTCACTTAACCTTTTTTCTACCATTATACTCAATAGCTATTCCCTCTTTTCATCACCAAAGTCGTCATATTGTCCACAATATTAGTAGTTTTTTTATAAATATCAGGCGGTGTCAGTTTTCGAGATATTGAAATAGCCTTATAAAAGAGGTATTTATCTAACCTAGTTAATTCATTTTTTTAACTAGGACTTAAGACACCCTATTACATGACATTTGAATTTATTTTCGGTTATAGGTAGATGCCTTAGTATTATATTTTTCATTGTCAAACTTGACAAAAATTGATTAGCAATTTTTTAATTTAAAATCTGACCACGCCACTGGATTCTAAACCTCCTCAGGTAGGTTAGTACTAAACGTGAATAGACAGTGAACCGTATTCGAGAAATAAATTATTTAATTTCGCTGCTACTATCCCTTTTCATTCCCTACGAAGACGTGTAAAACAGTTTGGCTATGTGGCCAAATTGCCCACAATTTTTGTAGCTTTTTGTGAAAATCTGATGGTATCACACCGTTTAACCGTTTTCGAGAAATTAATTGTTGTGATTGCTACCTCGATTCATCCCCAATGACTTGTAAAGATGATTTCACCATATACGTGACGACGACAACGTCGTATTGGTAAGTAAGAATATGAATAGTTTTTAGTAAAAATATAGTCGTGGTGTCAAATATTAACAATTATCTTTTGTAATTCATCTGTACATATCCCAAATTCATTATTGTCGATTTTCCTAAATGTTAAAAATTTTAAACAGTAGCAACGAACACGCTTCTTAGAGTTAATTAACTATGACGACCCCTCTGCTACGCCAATGGCGCTGGCACTTGGGTATATTCGGATATAGTTGCCAGATTTGGCTGCTGTTTTCACACCGTTTTTTAAAGCCATAATTATTAAGAACTCCATACTCCTAGTCATATTATTTTAGCTCATCATTGTTTCACGTACTGAAAATGCCAACGCTTAACCAGGTCATAATTTATAAAAAATAATAAAACAAATTCTTGTATTAGTCGTTCACTATAAGAGTAAGACTTCAGCACCTCTAATGGTTAAAACTGTACTAATTTCAAGTACACAAATGCACAACTTTGTATTTGTGTGCAGTGTTTTATTAAAAATGTCAGTGTTTTGATAACACTGTGTTTTAAAACTTTTAGGATGTAAATATAACAATTCTTTATCGAATAACAATATTGTATATTATTCAGACTATTCCAGTAGAGGTCGTAGGTATTGCTTTTCTCGAACAGCAAATAATAGGCAATATGTACTATAAAACATTTTTATACACATATCAATCATATTTCGTATTTATTTTGGAATAAGATTGGCCCAAAAAAGTATTCATGATATCTGCAGTTAAATTTTTCCAATTTTGAACAAGTGTGTTGGTATATTTTTTTATTTGAAAGGGAATAACACAGTGCTACTTTACACCATCTTGGTTTGGACCTATTAAGATTTTTTAATGATCAGAATGTGTAAAAAATGTTCGTGAACAAGTGTAAAATTAGTTCAGAAATATTAAACGAATTGAATTGAAATATTAAATAATTGAAATAAACGAAAATATATCAGAAATTATTTAAATTTGTATACGCATAAAATTTAAAAATGAGTAATCTTAGATTTCAAATAAAAAATTGATAATACAATTTTTCAAAAATTGGGAACTAAAAAAAAGTAACATGTTTAGGATTTGTGATTTTGAAAAAGTTATAATTTCCAAAGAGGCGTGTTGTTAGAATCCATTTAATAAATTATGTTTGAACTTCATTTGTTTTTTTTTACGTTAATAGGCTACACATATAAATTGGGACACCCTTTAGATATATATTTATTTAGAATACTGCAACATTTACATTTTCATTAATATTTGAACTAACGCTTTTGCGCTACTTATAGTAAGTAAACATTTTACAATTCTGATTGTCCACATTTTTGTGAGGCAATTAAAACAAATTGTAATATAATGTCCTTTTACGATATTAATTGCCACCCATACCAAGTAAACAAATGCATCTTGTGACTGTTACCATGTAGGTTTTATTCATTTTTATTTAATACCATAGAAAGTTATAGTAATTGTTTAAATTATAGACCGAGGTCAAATCTTTTATAATTCATATCCCCGTTTCTTTGATTGACTGGTTAGCGCATTTTAATAAAATGTATAACCATAACAGGAGTTCCAAAGCAAATGAGACAACACATTCGTTTATTCTAGGTTGTAGGTGTATAAATAGTCTTGGGAAACATATAAAACATTTATGCCAAATGGAGTTTCAAAAATAAGTGCTATCAAAGCTAATACCAGTTCAGATTTACGCGAAACTCGTAAATCCTAGACACGTATTTAGAAGTCTCCTCAGTGATGACAATATACAGAATTATAAAAATTACTGAGTAAATGGCTAATGCTACATCACAAATTAACAAAAAAAAAGTTCACAGACATGAACACATTGTACACAAAATATTCATTTTTCATGACACAATATAGGTAATCAAAATAAATAAGCCCAAAAAACAGTTGAAGATAGCCACGTAAATATTTTTTTCATTTACCGATAATGTGAACATTTTATATAATATAATTAATATAAAATGCTTCTTCTTTAATTCACTGCCTCGACCACCCAAAAATGGAGCATCTGAGAACATGTTTTTATTTTAAATGTTCTTTTGTGACATCGTATGGAAATCGCATTAATTATTTGTAACCAATATTTTTTCCTTTACATCAAAATTAAAACACTACAAATAAATTAGTATGTAAGTATGTTAAATTAGAGATTTTCAAATTACAAAAAAAGTAAATTATATTCTTCGTTCATTGAATTAAACATATAAAGAAAAATAAAAGGAAATAAGCTGGGTATATTAATTAAAACTAATACAAAAAGCAGCAAAGATAACTTTGTTATCACAAGAACAAAAAGGACAAGAAAACAAACACAAGGTTGTGCATGTCTAACAAAACGAAAATTAACGTCTTTACGAAAATTTGATGATTTTGGAGATTTTTATGAAGCAAGGTTTAGATATTTATTTCATTTTGCAGAAAAGGGAAAATATCAAAATAATTAGGAGATTTAGAAATGCCATAAATTCAGTCAATACATATAACAAAAGTTGTTTATGAAATGAAATCAAAATTATTTAATTCAAAACTTGTTTAAGAAATAAAATTAAGGTATTTTTAAGATAACCCAATTGGATAGTTTATAGACTACTTTTTTAAACTCAAAATTATATCCTCTTGGCCCAAATTTACAATCTGCTTAAAATTAAAGAATTGACGCAAAATATTATAATCACACACATATAAAATTATTTAATTTTCCGTTTTACAATGTGAATAATCTTGTAATAATTGAAGAAATTATTAAATTAAGTTCATAATGTGCGCGCGCAGGTTTCTACCATATACCGTTAGATACTGACTACACCACTAATAATGACGTCATTGAGCGATGATGATACATCAGATATGAGGCTTTATAATAATATACAAGGTCTATACATGCCTTTGTATTTTCATGGTCAATGAGAAAAATATTTTGTACAGTAATATAAGACAAAAATACACATAAACTTACTTTATCATTACCTCCATTGACCCTGATTGTTGTGCTTGGTACATTTGTATGAAAGGTCATGGGATGGGTAAATTTATGCAATTTGAAGAGACTATAATTTTAAGCAATATCAATTATGGTGAAGTTTAAGTCATCTATCTACGTAAAATGATATATAAGCAAATGAATTTAAATTGTGTTACTAAGAACTCACATTAATTCTTCATAAAAAACTTATCATTTGTTTATCAATATAATGGACTGGGTTACAAAACTTGTCCCAATTATTTACCATCTTGCTATAACTACTTTCACAATAATAGAACTAATTCTCTTGTAATAATTACAAAGGAATGAATAATGAATCATAAAATCATTAAAAGTGCCTTTATTTTTCTATATGGCTACCTGGAAAACTATTATAAATGAAAGATAAAAAACTGTGAACTGTGAAGAATAAAAGGCTTTTCTATATTTTGTACTTGAAATAAAATGCATATACCATATAAATTCAAAACTATGGATTGTGTATATCTCAAGAAACTATTCAAAGATGTCAAAATTTTACAAAACTTCTGTCTTCTGGAAAAAGCACAATTTTTTTATCTAGATGGATCCTGCTTTGAAATGGAAAATAACAAAAATCACTGTAAACACGAGCCATTCAGAAAAAAATTAGAAATTTCCATAATATATATCAGTGGGCAATCAACAGAAATTTATAATCAATTATGTAGGTACTTTCAGTTGTACTATTTAATAATTACTTATTTATTGTACATTGTACTGGAACAATTATTTTTGTATATTGTAACACATAGACACGAGTCTGAGCGAAAGCTTAATGAAAAATTATTTTATTTAAAAACATATTTTTACTAAATGTTTACATTTTTTATCTAAATATACTTATTTAAGTATATTTTCCCGATACAGAATCTAAGGTTATTCAGTTAATAAAACATGTGACTCGGACAATGAAGTTTGTAACAAAATAAGCTTGTAAGGTGAAATTGAAAATATTTATTTTGGTTCTATAAACGAATTTGATAACCTCTCATTAGTCTCATTTGATGTACGGACAATAATTATGAAAATTGCAGTGACACTTTAAAATGAAATGAAAATGAGTGACATTGGGCACCTGTTACCTTGTCTTTATGTTTCGAAATGTGTAACACACATCTTTTTTCAGCCTTAATAAGGTAATTGCAAAACCAATTCCCGACGTATAATTATTATAACTACGATATTGTGGCAGAACTAGTGGTCACAAAATAAAAAAAATAGCACTTACCTCCGCCCTGCATCATTTTGTAAAATTTTGATTCTATGTGTAACTGAGGATGTCTCGTTTTTATACATTCTAATTTGATTGCTACTTCCTCTCCAGTTGAAATATTTGTCCCTAAAACGAAGAAAAACACGAATGCGATTAAACTTTTAGGTATATTGCCCTGTGATCCTTTTGTTTACAAGTAGAAATGTGGTAATAAAGACGGCAAACTTACCTAAATAAATGTCTCCAAAAGAACCTGAACCTATTTTACGGCCTAGCCTATATTTATTACCCACTCGTAACTCCATTGCTCTTGAAAAAATATAATTTTACACAACAAAAGACATGTAATGTAGTCGTCTTTAGGCGGCCATGTTACATTAGCCAACTATCATAGGAAATTTGACGTAATCTAGCGGGTTTAGTTGCACTTTTTCACATACACTATAAAGTTAACGTGCGATTAAAACTAAAAACAATATTCTTTAGAATTTTGAAAATATCACAGATATGTCATTCACTAAAAACAACTACGTCGATCCCGATGATTTTCCCTTTCATAGTGCTTAAGATGACACACTACAGGCAACTGAGAAATAGATAAGATATATCTAGTTTTCATAAACGAACCTATTGCGTACATACGTTTTGATGTCTTTCTCTATTCCTAGTATTGGGGAACCATAGAATCAAGCGAATCTAGTCACACACCGCTAGTCTGTGATAATCTCGCCCGTTTTACTCTGCAGGGAAATTAAGGAACTAAGAACCTAAACAACCAATCAGAATTTAGATTTCCATGCAATTTTCTACACAGGCTTCAAATTCTTAGCAACCAAATAGATTTTTTTAATAACATGTGTTGATAGATATGCAGATATTTAATTGAAAAATGTATTTAACCGATATAATTTTGTTGAATTCACACTTAAAAATGTAATATGAATCACATTTTTAAACAGCGCAATATAGGCAATACCGCAAATACTAGAAATGAACAGGAAGCACTTTTTAAATTTTATTCCAGTGGCGTAGGTTACTATACAAAAATAATATAAATTATAAAGTTTTAAATGGACTCAAAAGATCATTCAAATATTTTACCGCTTAAAAACAAATTGTCTTTTTTTTTCTTACCTAATTTTGTTTTTATCCTCAAATGAATCTCAGTATTACTTCTTAGCTATCAAATTTTGCTTTATTCATAATTAATGATGGGTAGAAGTATATCAATATTGTTAATTATAGTTTTATAAATCACTAGTTCGTGTTAAGTGATTGTTTTAAAATAAGACATTTATACTTGTATAAAACATATACAGGATGTTCTGGAAACAGTTGAATCAGTGTTCCACTTTATAGGTGTTTTATACAAAATTTTCATTGAACATTTCTTCAACTTTCTTAAATTGCAGAATTATTTTATTACAGCTATTAATGAGACGCTAATACACTTTTTCGTGTTTTGTAATAGGCTGAAATAAATTATGCCGCTTGTTTTTTTTTCTTCAATTTTTTTTTAATACTTAAGAACATAAAAATAAAAATTTATATCTTAACACTTGGAATCTTTTTCAGGTTTTGAGGAAAAATGCATTATTTTAATAGTAAGACATTATTATTCTGCTTCTTTAATTAGAATAGATAAATCGAGGTAATTTTTTTTTTCTCGGGTTAATTATGGTTAACAATATAAGTGATCACAGGCTTTTGTGATAACAAAAACTGTAATGTTGCGAAATAAAAAATTCAATTAGAGGCAACTGAACCTCATATCTTGACATATATTTGTTTTTATCATCAACTGATATTACAATCAGGTGTTTTTATTTTTCACAGAAATCATTCCTTAAAAAAAAAAGTATGGGCTTCATTATCAAAATATGACTGTCAGCAATTGAAGAATGTTAGAATAAAGCTTTACGATTCAAATAAGGCATTAAGGTAATATTTCTTTCTCAAACATTAAGAAACACAAAAAATTTACATAATACATAAAGCTGTTCTTTAAGGAAACAACTATCCTGAGAACTAGTTTCCCGACCAGCCTTGAATTATACTGGCATTATCGAGTAAACCGCTGATATCATTCATCAGCAGAACCACCAGATCTATACCAGTCTCGAACTTACATTGGTTCTCTTTACAGGTGAAGTAACTGATGAATGGTCTAGTTATTTTTAATGTTTATTTTCAGACATGGCGTGACTATAGGTGAAGATGAGATATAACATCTCAACAGTTTAGTAGATATTGCAGGTGTAATTCCATGTTGGTTGAGAATGTAGTCCGCAAATTAGTTGTTTCCTCATCATTAAAAAATAGATAGCCCAGAGTAATACGTACTGTACTTGTTTTCATAATACCTTTGTAATAACAAGTCGCTCTCTGCCAGTTTTGTTGTGTTGAGAGCATAGGCGTAGTAATAGTGACCAATTTAAAATTAAATAGGTAACACACTCTGTATATCGTCCCTATTATCACGTAGAGGTGTATGTGCATATTATAAAATTAAAATATCCTACAATAACATTGCAATGTTGCATGGTGACTTATAGTTCAGAAAACACTAACAATAAATTTATTCTTCTGTATGTAGCAAGGATCTAAGGAATTCCTGATATTCTGGTATTTTTACAACTGGAGGTCTCTCCCTGACACAGTGAAACTAAATCCATTTTTTGGATTATACGCCTCTACGTGATAAGAGGGATGATATATCTTACCCACAGATAAAGTTGTTTAAATTTATTTTTTGCACGATCAAACTTTTTTTGTTTATCTACCATGTTTGTTTCTAGGACAGTAGGATGCACTTACTGGTTGCAAAGGCTAACAAAACGGTAAGTAATTTCCTTATCGTTATAGAATGGTAAGTACATAATTATTAAAAGACATTTTTAACATTGCATTGATTTGGAATGGGTTTTCTAGAATTCAGTTTAAAATTTAATTGATTTAAAAGAAAGATGTACTTTAAATCTATTTATTGATATTGAAATTAAATGTGCAGCTTGTATAATTATTACTTATAGAAATTGGAACCGTGGGCCGTGACAATAGTAAACATCAATAGAATTAAAAAAAAAACTGCTTATTCAAAAACGTAATTTTTGACATTACACAAAAAAGTAAATATGTATGTGTAACTTCGTTTTCATTTATTGCGATTGTGCAAAAAATAGTGTAAGCATCACGAACATTAAGGGCTATACCGTTTTCAGATAAAATTGTCTTCAAAAAGTAAATTACCCTTACCGTTCTTAATACTTATTATACTATTTTCCTTTTCTTTAAAAATAAAGACATCTTAATTTTAATACTATATCTATAGGTACCAATATTCTTTTTCGAATTGCAGCCCTTTTGGGAAAAAACGAGAATTTTATTTCTACCTCCACCTAACTGAGGCTGTAACTTTTTAAGGCAGGTTGGAATAAAGAAAATCTGGATGACACACACCCATAAAATTTATTAAAGGGGAACATCTGAGTGAACAGCGAAAAAATAGGTAAATTTTAGGAATTTTTGTTTGAAAAAAATATCTGTACAATTTTATCTAAATTTGTTTTATTCAAAATTATACATATTGAGGTATGCTGACAAATTTCTTTATAAAAATATATACAGGGTGATTCAGAACTTATCCAAAAAAAAAAAAAATTCTGGATGTACAGGGCTCTTACAAATACAATTTTGTAAAGAAAAAATCAAAAAGTGCAGTTCGAAAATGATTTAAAAATACACTTCTGCACGGCACTGGAAACTGGTCCACTGTAAAACCTGACCTGGCACAATGCAACCGTCAAAGCGGGAGTGATAAAAACGAACAAAAACTTGAAAGAATTTCGCAAGGAAAAGAATAAATAGAATTTTATAGCACCTATTTTATATCAGCAAATTCAACTGATTTTGCCGCTATTGTTATTATTAATTAATAAAATTCATTTGTGGTTTTAAATAATAAAATAATTTGACATACCTGATATTACAATAACTGTTCAAAATATTGTCCACCGACGTGTAAACACATTTGGGTCCGCTTTCTCAGTTTCTACGAACCAACACTAATTATGTCTTGTTTCACCATAACACAAATACTTCACTACAATGCTCACTTGCTTCACCATAAACTAAAACAATATCCGTCAACTCCGAGTTGCTATACACGCAAGCTATTTTTGACACTAACTACTAAAAAAACTATTATAAACATCGGATTTCAGTATTCGTAGTCGCTGAGGCCACGTGGCTCTCCGGGCGTATTACGAATGACACTAGAGACTACAGTTGTCCAGCTATGTAATGGTTGAAAGCACTACAACTAAAATAATTTTTTTCTCGGAAACTATAAGGATTTTACAATATTTTTTTTTACAATATTGACTCCATTTCTCATGCCGCATCTAATTTTTTTGGATAAGTTGTGAATCACCCTGTAGACTGGGAGCGTTGCTGTCATGGCCAGCATAAAAAATGTCTCTTACTTACTCCTACGGTTCCTAAGATTATATGCAGTCGGTTGATTTGAAAAACAATTTCAGAAAGATTCTCAAATTGTAGTGTATTCACAAAATGGCGGCCAATTGATCTTTACATTAATTTTTCAACTTTAATTTCTGACCATTTTTGATTGATAAAAAAAATCCTAGGCTCCAAAGTAGAAGACAAAATATAAAACACACGACAGAAATGAGATAACCCCTAATCCAAAGGCTGTGCGGAGGGGGGCTACACTTGAAAAAACGCGGACAAACACCCATTATCCATCGACATTGCCAGTGCCAAGGCCAGGGATTGAACCTGGACCAGAATAGGAAGTCTGGCCAAGAAATGCATGTTCAACCGACTACGCTACCGTGGTGATTAAATGTTGTAGTGATGTTTGAAAATATTGTCAAATTTCGGAAGCAATCGGTCAAGCCATTTCCAAATATTTTGAGAACCGTCTGAATAGTATGTCTCGAGATAATCACGTTTGAAGTGTGGCAATGAATTGACGTGCTAGGGAACTTGGTCGTTCGTCAGCTTCTTGGTAAATTGCCAACAACTTTTACAGTTCTTGGAATATCAAAATAACATTTACACACGATATTCCTCATATATCAGACTTAGGAGACTTTTTTTTTACCGTTAATCCGCGACTCCTGGACCATAGAGTAGGCTCTCCGCAGCACTTGCAGCGATCCATCACTGCTTTCGCTGAATCCTCCCTTCACGAGTCTCACTACGAGTTTTGACTTTAGCAGTACGTACACATTCCGCATCTTCAATGCAGATCAGCGTTTCTTCGTATCTTGATGCCTAATGCATTTCGGTAAATTGCACATAACTTTCTCAATTATTGCAATTTACACAATATTTTCAAGTTACAAACTTCGAGATGAACAAAAAAAAAATAGAAAAAAACACTTTTTTCTTCTCGGATGATCCCCATTACCAAGTTCTACTTTTTCTTAATCTTTTCTGGGACATTCTGTCCCAGAAAAGGATGAAAGGAAGAGAACAAAATTTTTTTCTTTAATTTCTTTTTTATAATTAGCGACAGACAATCGATTATTTTTTTTTTTGATAAATATAACACCGTTTGTGCGCATAGGTATATGATATTTTACCAATCGCCAACAAAATAGTCAGTCGCCAACTGTCTGTCTGTGTGGAATTAATGGAATGAGGTGTAAAAGCAAAATATTAAGAAAAATTCATGGAATCGAGTTTACATTTACTAAAGTATGTACATTTGCCAATGTCTCAAAATATTATATTATTCAGTCACCTAAAAAACAATAAAAAAAGAATCGGCCTTCTTAAGTGTGCACCCACTTAAGTGGAACTACTAATTAAAATGACAGCTTCTACAAGTTTTTTTTCTACAAGGTGAGTCATTAATAATGGTACACAGCTTAATCGCAAATTGTTAACGTAAAATCAATTGTTGTTCCTTTCCGTTCTACAGGAGGTTAAAGTTGAAAAAACATTTTCTATTTTTATCTATATTCTAAGTACGTATGGACAGATTTTTTTGGAAATTTGTAGTTTTTCGTTTTTTGGGGAGGCAAATACAAATATGCAAACAGTGTTGGGGTCACGTCTAGATGACACTAGTTATACTGTCCTCTAGTGATGAGCTTAACGGCGATTTTCAAGTCACTACGACTTTTAACGGTGACCTAAGTCGCTGCTTAATATTGGCAGTACTTCGGCAGTTGGAGCCGAGATCGTTTGCATTTGTTCTGATGTGGCGGGGCAGCGTAAAAATACTAGTCAGTCAGTGTCACTGGTCACTGTTTCAGTAACTGAGTCTCATTTCGCTACCACCACTAGAAATGTTATTAATTATTTCGAGTATTTGGAGTGAGTCAGAGGTCATAACAATAAAGAAAAATAATGACAAACCAACATATTATAGTTAAATCAAAGGCAGCCGCCGTGGAATTTTATACTTAGGGTATTTTAGATAGAAGCTTTTTAATTTGATAAATGTTTTTTCAGAAATATAAAATACATATAATGTGGGCATTGTGTGCGTTATTTTGCGAAAATGATATATTCATTAATTGTAAGTGTTAAATAAATTAATAAATCAATTTTATAGGTCAAACGTCAGCTAGGTACGGCATTTTATAATAAAATAATATTTATTATACTTAAATTAACTCGAACCAAAAACTCAAACTACTTAAAATAACGCAAAACGGCAAGAGCACGACGCATAGCACGCGATTACGACCAGCGACCAGCGTAAAAATAAATATTAAAATTAAATATTTTATCACCATCATACACCATATCACCAGCACGGCAGGCGACTGGCAAGTACACAGTGCGAGTCGAGTCGGGCATCGTCGGTGACGGCAACACGGCTGACGACCAGCGACCAGTCGCTGTTTTGCCAGCAGTATGAAAATATCGCCCATCACTAGCGACCAGATATTCCGCCACGACCAAATAGCCACAATACAGGCAGCGACCTAGTAAGTCGCAGCGACTTGTCACCGGTAGTAAAATATCGTCCATCACTACTGTCCTCAATGTAAAAATCCGTCAAATTTTTTGTATTTTACAATTTTGAATTTTTTAACTACAAATTATTGAACTACGTTCAATTCTAAATAAAAAAAGGTATACTAGTTACAAATCGATAAACTAAACGATTTTCGAGATATATACGTTTTAAGTTTTTGAGATTTGGAATTAAATTAGAAAATTAGCAGGTCTTAAAATACCAAGTCTGAATTAAAAATTAAGGCAAACATTATAGCAATCTAAAATTTTATTATGCATCTTAACAAATTATTAACCACCCGCGACCTCAATGCACTTTCTCAGCCTTTTATTTAAATTTTGTCTGACGTTTAATAAAGTTCTGTGTTTTTTGATAATATGAACTGATTCTTGAATATTTGTCCAGTTGTTTATGGCCATTAATAATGTTTTTATAAACTAACTATCTCCAAAAGTAAAAATCCAGCAGAATTAAAACAGCGCTACGTGCAGGCCAAGGCACTTCGCTACCTCGACCAATCCAACGGTAGGGAAATTTCTATTGACATTCTCTTCTCTAAAAAATAACGACAAGGAAAAAACTACTTTCTAATCAAATTGAGTAGAATTGGCAGAAACAATATGGTATTGTAGTGACAGCTGTCAATTTATTATGTCAATGCCTACTACTTTGGAAAAAATAATTTTCTAATTTAATTCCCGTCGAATCTCGGAAACTTAAAACGTCTGTATCTCGAAAACAGTCGAGTTTATCGATTTGTAACAAGTATACCTTTTTTATTTAGAATTGAATCAATTCAATAATTTCTAGTTAAAAAAATTCAAAATTGTAAAATATAAAAAGTTAGACATATTGTTACATTGACAGGACAGTACAACTAGTGCCCCCTAGACGTGACCCCAACCACCTCAAAAAACGTAAAACTACAAATTTTGAAAACAATCGGTCCATACATACATAAAATAAAGTAAAAAATCAAAAATATTTTTTCAAATTTAACACCCTGTAGAACGAAAAGGAGCAACAATTGATTAAAGCATATTTGGCTCAATCGCTACATTTTGAGGTTAACAATCTGCCATTGAGTTGTGTACCATTATTAATGACTCACCTTGTATATTTAAGGAGCGCGACTTCATTCCAAAGGATAATCGGGACAAGTGTAGGGAAAAATAAACAGTACAATTGATTTTTATTCACTTTAGTGATGTTCTGTCATGTGAAATCATAAATATAAACTTTAATAAAATGTGAATAAAATACGAATATAAAATATCTAACGAAATGTTAAGGCCATATTACAAGTTCTTATTGTTTGTTATTAAAAACTTAGAACTCCACTCACACATTCGCTCACAAACCTCCACCACGTTTTGTATAAAAAAGCTGCTATTAAAATTACCTTTGACCACAGTTAAGACATAGGTGTGTTATATTTATAAATTTTCAACAAACTATAAACACTCAACTTCAAATGCGCAACTCTTAGATAACGGTATATTTTAGACTAACTGTGGAAAAGTTTATATTTAATAAAATCTACTACACTAGGGTCCCAAAGGTCTCAAGAATTTTTTTTTTTAATAAGTTAAAATAAACTGTATAAACAGCGAAGCTTTAGCTTGGATGAGGATATAAAAAGCTATACCAAATATTTCTTCAGAAAGTCTTCCGCATATTAAAGTTCTCAGATTTAAAATAATAATAATAATAATACAATAAATTTGATCTGGATATTGCCGAGAACTCTAATACCATAAGTTTTTAATAATAAAAACATTAACAATATGATGATATATAAAAAATTTATTAATAATAAACTATTAATTAAAACCTGAACAGCATTTCGTTTTAACACTTCCGCAGCAGGAAATTTTGAAATGAAAATGGTCCCGATTTTCCTTATACCTTAATAAGTACGCTAACAATACTTTCACAAATGAACAAAACGAAAATAATTAAAAACTTTAAAACACATCTAAAAGGATTTGTCCTATAAGCTAAACAATTATATGAAAATAAAACTTAACATGTTAATGCGAAATACTGATCATGTTGATATGGCAAATTATTGACAGTTTTTCATGCCCCCCCAGTCAAAATGGGTCTAGGAATCCTCTTCAGCCAATGCTAAGGGTGCTCGAAGCAATATATCACTCACTTGTATCTCCTTAATCTAGAAAAAGGCAATTTAATTTGTAAAAGGATCGTTGACTGAATTAAAAAAAAATTACTGAAACACTGAATTTAGTAGATAATATACTAAAAATTCACCACTCAAACGATAGAAATATGTCTTCAAGAATGTAAAAATTTCAAAATAATCATTAGTTTTGTTATCATTTTTAATGTTTTATCAACATTATTTTATATTTTGCAATATATTATTTCATAATCCTTCATACTGTTAAGGAAGTAGTATTTAAAACACAATTATTTGGTACACTTAATACAGAAAATAAAAAAACTAGAAACTTCAGCTTCCAACATCAAAAATCCAAACGACTTTAATTTTGTGATTTCATTTACATTCAGTATTTCAGTCAGTTAAATTTTGTCTGCATGTGTCTAAAATATATAATTTTTATAGACGAATAATTATTTTTGGACTTGTTGCCATGTCATCGGTTTAGACCAGACGTATTTTCCTAAGGACGTACAGGGCAATTGTCTGGGGCCGCCAAAGGGCCGTTTCTTTGGGTTTTTTGCTGACAATTTAGATATGTCCCTAGTTTAGACTACTTGACATTTCAAACGGACAGTTTCAGAGATTCTGACAGAGAGAGCAATATGACGTTCAAAATACCAATTAATCTAAACCATTAATATGGCAGCTAGATTGGAAATAGTTAGCTAGCTTTTCTATATAAAAATGTTGCAAGAAATATATTGAAGTTTATATTTTAGACACATCTGTATCCATGTGTGTTAGGATAGTTATTTTTTCTTACTTTATTTAGGAAAAAATATACAATAAAAAAATATTCTGACATTTGCATAATATACAGAGCTAAACATAACATTTGAATTTGGGGTATCAAAATAAGAAAAAAGTTCTATGAAGAAAATGTTCAGAAATGGTTAGTTTTTGAAATATGCGTGTTAAGGTGAGACCGCACTAGGCGGAATTGCACTGCAGCGGAGTGACGTGACACAACAAAATATTTTAAGGGGTGTCGCATTTGAACTGCTGCGGCGCGACATTATGCATCAGTTTTGTTCAACCAGGTGACTTTTGAGCAAGATGGTTGACATTGACGAGGACGTTATAATAGTATCTTTGCTGTGTGAGGAAGAAGAAAGGTTGCAGGAAGCAAGAAAAAAGCGAAAAATGTGGCTGCATGATATTTCTACTTCACGGTATGTTGAAGGAGAATATCATACACTTTTGCCAAGGCTTAAAAGGGCTCCGAAAAGATTTCATACTTACTTTAGAATGTCTCAACATGAATGATGAACAGTGTCGCGCCGCTTACCATATCGCACTAATGGCAGTGGAACTACGAGGCACGTCACGGCGCGACAGAGTTGGTGAAAAAGTCAACTTTGTAGTTCAGTGCCGTGTTGCGCAGCGTAGTGCGGGATATGTCATACAAATTCAATTAAATAATATTCACGTCACGTTGCTCCGCTACAGTGCAGTTCCGCCTAGTGCGGTCTTACCTTTACTATGATAAATTTTTGAAATGAGTACTTTTTCAGTGATTAGTAGTGGTAACGCAAATTTAATAAAATAACTATAAATTGGTCCATTATTTAAATAAAACTGTATTTGCCATAAAAATACCACTAAAAGAATGACTGAATTTCTAAAATACCCCTTGGTGCCAAATCAATGGGGCTCTCATCATGGCACCTCCATCACTGACGATAGGAGTTCATTTTAATTTTTTACCTTTAATTTGGTAAATAACTCAGGCAGACAAAATTTCAAAAAGGAAAAACGCAGAAAGCAGACAGTACGTCCCAGAAAGTTTTTGATGCGCTGAATCCGAATCTGGCCTCAGAATTAACCCATCACCCTAGGTTTCCGAGAAATTGTAATCAAAATGTGTAAAAAAACAATTTTTTACTATATTCAAGGTTATATGACATTGCGAATAAATTTTTTTTCTAAAAATCGATTACACCACTGAAAAGTAGAATTTCTACCCTTCAAATCAGAAGATTTGAAAAACTATTCATTTTATAAATATTCATATCGTTAATCGAAAATTACTACTATTTGGACCTTTAGGTTAACCTGCCGTTGGAATGATAATATGGGGTTACGGGGTGCTTCGGGTATAAATTTTGAGTTTGATTTGTCGTTGGTTTTGAAGATGCTGGTTACGACGAACTTAGGTCAACCTTCTGAAACTTCAGCGCCTGCCGGTTATAGTGTACAATAGTTTATAACCTTAGTATAGCCGAAATTCATGCACTTTGACCTTTTAATAATAATAATAATAATAATAATAATATCTCTACTCCTCATTCTAATTACGAGAATTAGCCCAGAAGTCGAAGACTTGTGCGGGAGAGGAGGCGGCATATTATTATTACGCAGGCCGCATTTGCGCCCAGGAACGACTTATGTTGGTAAGCCCTAACCACCATTCAGTGCAGGAATGAGGGAAACCTGGAAAACCTCATTAATTAGGGGGGTGGTCAAATGCCAACCGGTGTCAATCTCTCACATTGACCCAAGCCAACATTCTTCCACCCTACCATACCTGCACAGAGGGCGCCAATCCTCCGTACAAGTATAGATAATCTACGGTCACCGGCCGCGGGATTCGAAACCCGGGCAGTTAGACACATCGATTTAAGTACTGACGCCTTAAACCGTGCGGCTATCGACCGATATTTTAGGTTAGGAAATCTCAAAACCATAAGGTCATTGGAAAATATTGAGGTTAGATTCGAATTCAACGACCCAAAAAACATGAAAATACAATGTCTGCTTCCTAAAAATTTAATTTGGCCATGGTGTAAGTAAGAAGTAGCTGAAGTAGTAATTTTCAATTAACGATATCTTGGCGCAAATTGAATATTTTTTCAAATCGAAAGAAAGATTTTGAAGGGTAAAGATTCTACTTTTCATTGGTGTAATTGATTTTAAAAAAAAAAATTTATTCGCAATGTCAGATAACTGAAAAAAACGTGTTTTTTACACATTTAGGTTAGAATATCTCGGAAACCTATGATGATGGGTCAATTCAGAGGCCAGATTCGGATTCGGCACATCATAATCTTCGGGGACATATTGTCTGCTTTCTGCGTTTTTTTTCCTTGTTGGCCTGTATAATTGACACAAATTTCCTTAATCTACGTCACATTTCCAGGCATATTTTAGAAAATAATTTTTTTCTGTAATTTCAGCTCTATATCTCAAAACCAAAACATTTCTGAACATTTTCTTCCTAGAATTTTTTTATCAACGTTTTAGGGAAAATGTATATCTAATACTTGCAAATTGGAAAACTATGCAGACACAGTCACAGCCTTTTTAAAATATTTTGACATCCAGAATATTTTTTTAACAACAAATTACCCTTTTATCCCATTCTAATATATACAATAGAATAGAAAATAAGACCTTCCAATTTTTATGTATCTCAAAGCAACTAATATAGAGAACGTATTAGGCGAGATAGAAACCAAGTAAAGTAATCCTCTATTTTCTATTTTACTACTTATTTATTTCATCGGTACATTTTCTTTTAATAACTTTTTGTATATCTAAAACTGAAGTTTTTCCATTTAATATTGTGACAAAAAATGTATAAATTTTTACTTTTATTTTATTTTTAGAAAATGTTGATTTTTTTTTTAGTGTAAATGCAGTCATATATTTAAATTTTGTTATAAAACAGACATATGCTAAATCTATACAGAATAAAAAAGTTCTATTGAGTTTTAGCAAGATAGAAAATATGGATCACAACTGGTTCCCAAATCACCTAAGCTAAAACCTTCTACACTACCACCTATATAGAAAATTTGTAGTGGTTAGATATTTAATAATTCGACAAATAGTACACAATATCAATAATGTTAATTTATAGTGTTACAACATAAAGCATTAGTTATAAAGACATCATAGAACAAATATCTCTAACCTCTAATTTTGTTCCAGATCCGTCCGTCAGATTCTCTATAACTACAAAGCGATAACAAAAAAAAACACATTTAAAGCAGGTACACTTATAATACAACATTCAGAGCAATATTTTTCTTGACCAAAACAAATACAAGCATACCCACCTAATCGGTCTAACTGGTGAACGTTCACATACAGGATGTAACTAAAATGCTTGACCAAACTTGAATGATGTATACATTACAAATTAACGAAAAGCCTATATAAAACATGTGTCTGAAACTGATTTATTTTCGAGTTACAGGGGGGCGTTAAAACTAAAAATAAAACTTGTTTCTTTGATATTATAAAAAAATGTTATCGTCCATAACATTTGGCAAATACTAAGTAATTTTCGTGTCCAACTGTTTTCCTTCTGAGACATTTGAAAAAGGCTTACTGTTATGATAGATAAGGGTTTTACAAAAATGTACTCTTGCTACATGTTACACCGTTATCGAGAAAAACAGCAAAATGTCATACCCTGTTTGGTTAATTATTACTAAAGGTATAATGATATCAGAATATAAGAAGTCAATCTTTTTCATTCTGTTTAATTATTTAAATACCCTGTATTAAATAATGAAACATTTTAGGACATATTTTTTAAGGATTTTTTTTTGTTAATTTTTTATGTAGAATCAATTATTCAAGTTTAGCCAAGCATTTTACAATTTTACAACCTTTTAAATAATGTTTTGAAGATACCATGTTTATTTAAACAATTATTTTATTCATTTAGCAGAAAAATAGAAAAGAATACATTTTTTTAACGAATGCATTAAGCGAAGTATACAGGGTGTTCAAAAAGTAGGAACCACCCTCTATCTCAGGAAATACTGCTCAAACAAAAAAATGATTAGGAGAAAAGTTGCAGGGTTTTGAGTGAGCAGTCCAACGGTGACCTTGACCATGACCTTCAAGGGCATTTAGAGGTCAACCTGAAAATTTTTAACGGAGCCGTATATTTTTGACCCCGGAAATGGTCACAGTATTTCCAACAGCCTGTCTACGAAGGTTCTCATCAGTGGAAAAATTACCGAGATGTTAGG